TTAATTCGGATCGCTCGCTCTAAGAAGGCCTAAACTGTTCCTTGACCCAATCAGCCCGGTTTGTCCGACCAATTATAGCGGATTAGAGGAATAAACTCGAGTCGTTTGCGACACTCTATACATCCCTCTTTTCGCCGCTATTATTTTACAGTTCGAAACCGTTAAGAAACTGAATTATTCAGCTCTTCCCGCAGCCGGCATTGTATTCGTTTCGCACCCGCTGAATACTAACGTTCGGATCCCCGAGGAATTTGTTTCATAAATACGAAATTCTCGCCTTAATTCATTAGACAAATCACTGACAGCTCGCGCCATTGTGCCGCGAATAATCAAGTAGAATACACACCGTCTCTTTATACACCAGAAAATATTAAATGCAGGAAGAAATAATAAAAGCTTTCCCTCACTCGCATTGCAATATTAGCCCGTCCAAATTCCGTCCACACGTTTGTACGCCTTGCACTGTAACTCACGGGGAACGCGAACAAGACAAATTCGCGGCGTTTAAAGTTGCAAGGGACGTTTATTCATCCTATTGTGTTGATGCGAAGACGCCGCGCCGTCCCCCCTTCGGGCGCAGATACACCCCCGCAGCGGCGGCAAAAAGTGTTTGCTGATTAATCTCAACTATTGTGCGGCTGATGGATAATGATGACGGCGTTCGACGGTCGGGACGCCGCGATGCGGGCGAGTTTCGGCGTCGGGCGGGATAACCGTCGGTTCGAATCGGCGCGGAAAAATCGATGGGGTAGCTCCGGGTATAAGAGGATTGGAGCGCTGCGAAAGTCTCACTCTTGTACTTGTGATTTTAAATGTAGGAGAGATATGTTGCAGGGATTCGAGATGAAATTTTCAATTAGGGGAATCGACTCGAGTGATTCGTTAAAGCGAAGAGGAGGAATTGCTGTAATTTCGGGCGCTTTCCGAAACTACAGGGTGGACCAATTTAGTGTGACACAAAAATTTATTGAGATTGATTAAATGTAGATTAAACTGTTTGAACAAACTCAAAAATAGTAGAATTATCGAGATAGTAAAGGAGACAATAAATAGAGAATATCTACCTATTAGAATCTAGCCAATTAGATGTAGATAATATATCTAATAATTTAAAGAGTGCCATCCTGTTGATCTATCTAAAAACGAAGTGATGAAAATATCGAAATCATCCGACAGCCACTTCCTAATGAATAACTTGGAACAAGTGTTGTCAGCGTTTACCTTCGCACTTTGCGCCCGAAACCATTAAAACTTATTGAATCTATCTGGAACATCGTCATTAGGGCCCCTCCCGTTGTGTGTTCTTATCTCGTTTTCGGCGTCTGGAAGTTTCCGCGCGCGCTTTTCCTTTCCGCATCTCCGCCGGTTTCGCTTTTCTTTTCTTTTCTCGCCGAGCGGCCGAGAAACTTTCCCCATACAATATACGCAGATTTATGGAGTACGCACGTAGATTCTTATTTCCGCGAAACTTTTATTTCGAACTCGCTCCCGAAACGTTACGAGCGCCCTGCCGGAAAGCCGGCTGCGGCTCATCCAGGGAATTTCCAGGAAGGCTTTTATTAATTGTTATTAATATATTTATTCGTATAGGAAGGTACGTAAATACAACGAATATGTCGCATAAATAAAAGTGTAAAGCGAAACAGATTTAGTGCGGTGGAATATAAAATTTCCACTCGTGAATTCAGAGCTTTCGCATTCGAACATCACACTACTTACTCCAAATTGGTATGCGCTCAATTGAGACGTTTTATTCGGAAAACCTTTCAGAGCAAGAAACAGTATTAGTTTTATTTTCGGGATGTTTTGTAGTGTAAAGGGTGCGTGTTTGTGTGTCAAGTGAACCTGTTCGAGGAGATTTTATTTGCATGAGAGACCCGCTATTGGTCCGGGAAAAGTCGTAATAAAATACAAGAAGGATGCATTTTTAGCGTTTTCCCGCATAAAGCGATGGGATTCGCTTCGCTCGCCCGTAGTCGGGCGGTTTTAGGGAAATTTCAATCATTGAAATGGCACTGAGGATAATGCTAACTTTCAGTTTGATTGGGTTTCGAGGTTCCTTTTTTATTTTATTTTTTTAACTGCTTTTCATCAACGCCTTTCATCCACTTAAACTACCAAACATCCGACCTTTACATTTCATTGAAATTCGCTACCTCTTTTTTCAGGGATAAACTTAATAAAAATAAATAGGGGAAGGTTTGGTAAGATAAAATATCTTCAGTTGTTGGTGTTTTTTTTCTTCTTCTTCTTCTTGTTTGGCTTCCGATGAACTTCTGACACTCGCCGTTTTATATCGACTGCTTTTTAAGCAAGTCAACAAATTTACTTTTCCCATAAAATAAAAATCCCTTCCAGCTCTTCGCGATACGCTTTTAAGAACTCGATAACTGAACGAGAGAAAATCTTTTACTACGGAAAATATCTCCGCCCTTCTTAGGTAGTAATAAAGCGGGAATCGCCTCTAAAAATATAAAAGTTTATAAAAATCAAGCGCCGTCGTTTTCCCACTGTCGCAGAAACCGCCGATAGAAGACATTTCCTTTACAACAACTCCCCTTTCTATCGCTAAATTATACCGAAATGTAATTAATTACAGATGGTTGTAAACATCTACAGTGTAGAGTTTCATTCGGAATATAACAGTTAGTAACGCTAATAACCGTATTAATAAAGATTTTTATGGTCGCCTCCGGCGGGTCGGGAAGCGACTGGCAATCGCCGAGCATATCAGAATGAAGTCTCATGTCTCCCATAAAGCAAGAACTTCATCAGCTCGGCCGTGAAAGTGCATCGAAACGCTTTCATCAAGCGTGCGCGCACATGACAGCGCCATAAAAGCGACGCCGCCGCGCCAAATAAGAAAAATTTCCCCGGAAATATGTCTGCTGAATTATAATATGATGAAATTTTCACGAGATTGCGGTGTATAAACAGTTTAATAACGCCGCGATGCCTCGCCGAGCTTCCACATTTTTGTCTTTGCGAATAATTAATAACGATACGTGTACGTTAAAATAACGTAGCGTAAAATCGCGGAGTATTGCATAAAAAAGCGCCGCGAACCGGAATAAATAAATAGCAGCGGAACGTGATTTTTTCGATCCATTAACCCCGCTATTCCGATTTCGAATGTTAAACAATAATACCGGTGCACATACACATGCACTCGAACGTTCTACCGGCAAAATTCGATACTAAATTGACGTATTTTATCGGGCACTTCTTGTCGAAGGGGCGCACCGACGGAGTGCATCTCTCCACCGTTCGAATAATGAAATTGAATTGGAAAAAACTCTCAGCATCTCGACTGCGGACATTAAAACGTTGATGCGAATCCCAAATTGGTTTCAAGTGTGCTTCGCCCCGCGTTTTTGTTTTTGCATCTTTTTTATTTCTACGTTTTTTTAGGGCATATGGTGCAACGATAGTGGAAATTCAACCGGTATTTTTTCACCGACTCTTCTACGCGTTATTCTTCGTTTCGATCCAATCAAAAGGTTATAAATAATCTCACCAAATGTCCTCCTAAAGTGATGGAACAATTAATTCGAAGATGGTACTTCTTATTGAATTTATCTCTCTACCTACATTTGCACCAATACTCTCAATAATTTCCTAGTTCTACAGCACAATACTCCATCCAGCATTTCCTCCTTCGAGGCGAATCCTCCATAAATCACCTGAACTAGTTATGCCACATTGCCGGATCCATTTTTTTCCACGCCGAAGAGTTTATTCACGTCGGGAATCTCCCGAAAACGGGGTCAAAACTTCTCGCCCACCCCCGAAAAAAAAAAAATCCCGGCGATATATCACTATATTTCGGGCGCGAAAAAATCCGTAACGCTGATGCATCTCGGATACAAACACAAGGTATGTGGCGGCGTGATGAGTGTTTGACGCTGATAAGAAAAATGCAGGAAGAAACCAGCGGCGTCGCGAAAATAAACAAAAAAAATATACCAAATAATTAACCACCCAAGTACTACTAGAGTACAATTAAACTTGCTCAGTATAAAGCGTTCGAACGAGTAAAACCAACGAAAATGAATTTAACTAATACCAAAAAGAGGATGTTTAATATATAATTCATTTATCCTCGTGGCGCCGTCTATGTGTAGAAGCTCGAAAGAGAACCGGAGTCCCTTCCAATCGCCTAATAGCTTTCCTCACGCATTTTCCGCGCTATACGCACTGCGAACGACCCCTCGGGCCAATCTACCGCCGCCCCCGGGGCCATATGCAAACTAAAAACGCCCCATGAAATATGTAGCCGGCGACGGGATCGCGCCGTTCGACGGCTTCCACTCGGAACACTCAAATCTTCCCGAGGAAACGGCTAATAATTGACTCGATGGGAAACCGTATTAAAAAATCCCTATACCTAGTTTGTTTTACGGGCGAAGGGCGCCCCGAATATCCCGAGTATGGATCTCGTTAGGCTACGTCGAGCAAAAACATCGCCGGAATTTCAACGATTGGTTTCGAATTTTTCCGTGTGTTAGAAACCAGCTGAGTAGAAAAATGCATTCCGAACGTCGGGAATATTTTATTCACGAACAAAAACCTCTGGCCCTGCTGAATAATCAATCGGCGGGTTGAGTTTGTTCTGGGGAAGCTCCGGTTTGTATACTGTATGACCTGGTAGACAGACGATGATAAGGATAGTGATAAGGGTTTTGAAAGAGAGGGTTTGGTTTTTCTAACGTTGCGTAAAGTTTACAGAGAGAAATGCGTATTTTATAATACCTACACCTTTTCACGTGTTATTTTATTATTCTATTTGGGAAGCCTTTTCTCATCTGTTGAAATTGTATATACGTAATCCTTGGATGACCTCTGAACGAAACCTGAAATATTCTAATGATTATTTAATGGAGGGTTCTCCACAACACATCTGAGCCCACGATTATTATTTACCTACCCTCCGTTAAAATTCAGTTAAAACACCTAACATCGCAGTTAAATTTATATCCAATAAAACACAATAGTTTTTTTCCGAACATTTTTATTATCCATCATCATTTTAAATGGACATTTTTCCCATAAACTGCTGCATTATTAAATGCGATGCGCGTTTTCTAAAGGTCCCCCCTTTTTCGTCGTTTCCTCCTCCTCCTTTCCATAACATGCTTTCTCAGATCGCATTTCTGATATATGATTTCACAATTGGCTTTTCCTAAACCCAATATAGAGGCTTTAAGGGTGTCGAGCATTGAAGTAGATGGCGCCACATTTTTCACAATTCTTCCCGACAACCAGCTCATACCCAAACTGGAAAAAATCTCATACATTTTAGATCACTAGGCCGTTGAAATGAAATTAAAAGATTAAAAAACAAGAGTGTTGCGCTTTTTTATTCCGATGGAAATCGTGAAAATTTAAACAAGCCGAAACGGTAACATACATATATTTTTCGGATGTTTCGTTAGGCGCGAGAGAGCATTAAATATTTAGAAATAAACGCTATTAGATGGAGCGAACCCTTGAAAAATACCTATGCTTGTAATGAATCAGTAAACCCTCTGTTTCTTTCGTGTAAATGCGGTACATGCGAGTAATTAGAAATATTTTATTCTCACCTCCACAACGGTATAAATATTTTATGCCTACTATCGAGACTCCTGGACCATTTGTTGTTATCGCAAACGCTCTTCTTCAAGCAAACCCCATCATCGTTATCCGCAATCAGCGCCGTTTCCATCGTAACCAATACTCTTCGCGCTAATTCGTTCAAAACCTGATTATCCGGATTAGATGCCGCCCTTTTCCATCTAAACTGAAACTTATCCCTCGCATCATCCATCGCGGTACTACCCGAACCTGTAGCATCCATATCATCATCGCCGGATACACCTGGAGAGTTCCCGTCTGTATTACCAGAAGCCGTTCCATCAGGATCCATTCCTGTTGCACCTTCACCAGTATTACCCGCATCCATATCATTACCGCTTGCAGTATCAGCACCTCCACCCGTGTCATTGTTACCTTCGTCCATTCCGCTACCGGTGTTTGTCATATTATTATCGTCACCAGTAGTTCCAGGATTATCCTCTCCACCATCCGTTCCACCTCCAGTTCCAGGATTATCTTCTCCTGCATCTCCAGTTCCGGGATTATCATCACCAGTATCCATTCCGCCTCCAGTTCCAGGATTATCATCACCATCAGTATCCATTCCACCTCCAGTACCATTATTATCATCACCATCAGTATCCATTCCACCTCCAGTTCCATTATTATCATCACCATCAGTATCCATTCCATCTCCAGTACCATTATTATCATCACCATCGGTATCCATTCCGGTTCCGGTTTCAGTGTTTCCACCACCTGTGCTTGTCATGCCGGCTCCCGTGGGAGTGTCATCACCACCACCAGTGCCGGTACCACCACCTGTCATTGCGTTATTATCTGTATCGGGCCCCATCGTACCTGTTTCGTCGTTCCCCGTCGCCGTGGGGCTCATGCTCATCGCCATCGCGGGAGTCGTAGTCGTGGTGTTGTTGGTCTTGATTAATGTTTTTTATATTATACTTATATATTACTTTTATAGTACTTACCACTGATGCTATGCACATGATGACGTGTACGACGAACATTTTGAACGCCAGGAAGGCCAGGGCTGTGAGGGCGACTTCGAATAAATCGGCCAGGTCTTTGTCTTTGGTGTAGTAATTGTAGACGTGGTACTTTGTGGGTGGTTCGTGGTACGGTTGTTCGTAATGGACTGGAGCTGTAAATTTTGTAGGTTTTGTAAATATTAAATAAATCTTATGGTATGATTTATACTCTCTGGTTGATGTACTGGGTAACTTCCTCCACCTCCTCCGCTGGAGAAGTGGTAATCCGAAGAACCGTAATTCGAGGAACCATAATTGGGTGAACCTACGTGTATAATTTCGTAAGAGTTTCAGTGCTATTCAATTAAGAACCGACCTGCGTAATAAACTTCTTCGTGCCGATGATTAACGGGTACTTTAGGTTCCGCTTGTTTGTGGGCATCCTGTATGTTAAAGCTATCATCGAAATCCTCCACATTCTCCTCCACGACGTCGATTTTATTCTCGGCTTGATCGTAATGCCGGTAAATATCCTCCAAAGTGGTGCTCCTAAAATCATGCAGGAATCAAAGCAACGTCCTGTACCATTGGATGCGCTTACTTGGTTAACCAATCTTTGTAACCGGACGAACCTTCGTCGAATATCAATTTCTCTTTGGCGTCGAGCGAGGGCGCTGTAATCGACTCGCCGATGCCGGACGTTACGTGGCCCATTTTCCGCTTCACCCTCGTAAGAATCGACATGTTCGAGACGATTTGCTCGGCTAGGAAGTTTCGACACATGTATTGATTCATCATGGATCTACGAAAATACTTCAAAAATACTTTCACAATACTATAATTGTACAAACCTGTGGTAGTCCATTGTTGATATCGCTTTAATTAGGGTACCATCGTGGTGCACCCTAGTCGATTCGTTGGTGTTGTTTACAATTTCTTTGGGATTTTCCAGCATGAGTAGAGTACCAGGCATGTAGTCTTTAGATAGTATATCGTCGAGAATTATTGCGTTTGGGGAAAAGCTGCTTTTTAATACATCTGCTAGGGTTACTAGATACACTATTATTACACCCACCAACCGCATTTTTCAGTTATTGTATATAAGAAAAATAAAATATTATTTTCGCGTTCCTTGGCGTGTTTATCGCCGAAACGCAATGACAACGACTGAGTGTATTTGTCTTTAGCGAACTGGGTGACAAGGCACCGTAAAATCTCGTTAACCAGTTAGAAAATGCGAAGCGGAAAATTATAAAACGCTTACCGGACGCCTAAATTCGCCGTCCGTTATGTTTCGACAAAATGTGTAGAACGAATCGTTAATGCGGGAGAGGTTTTTGCACCGGTGCATGAGCGAGCCTCGTTTTTCGCTAATAACACAACATCCAACGTGGTTAATTACGCGAACGGACGAATTTGTTCGAAAGTATATTCCTGTTACAATTCGCGGCCTATCAATATGTACACGACAAATGTAAATTCGATAACCGGCATTATTGAATTTCGAAACGTTACTGTAACGAACAATATATTGTATTACGGATATTATTTGCACCAAAAACCACAAACATACAGTTTCCTAGCAATACCGAAATGATATGTGAACTGAAATGCTAATTAAGACCTTGCAAACAGCAATTATTAAACATTCTGTAATCAGAGAGTGAATTATTGAATATATATTGACGAGCATTCGGTTCTCCGGGGATGCGATGATGTTACATGCGCAGGCACGAATTCGTATTCAATCGACGAATGCTCCGGGCGAATACCCGGATTAGATCAAAAATACATCGGATTTTCTATCAATAATTAAAATCAAAATTTTGTACACGCGTATAAGTAGTTTATTTAAGTACTAATTAAACGGAATTTCCAGTTGATATACGATTTAATCCTGCTTGAAATGTATATATTGATACACAAATATCTAGATTTGCGCCCGTTTTGGGATTAATTTATCAACTGAAGATCAACCCGACCAAAGGTACTTACTATTATATTCGATGCCGGAATATTCCGGATTAATTTCCCGTAACGGAGTTGTGTGTTCGCATCCCGCATTTGCCTTGCTATTTCGTAATGAACAACCGCTCGATTTATACCAGCACAGAAAATTCAGTTCCAGCTTTGATGGCGACGCGTTTTATTTATAATTTAATTGTGGGAATAAAACTGTTTCGATTCGAAATAAATTAGAACAATCGGAAAAATGTGGGGCTGGGAAAAAAAGGCGGAAAGTTTTCCAATCAATCATACCGACACTCCGAAATTAATCCTGTGAAAATCTAAGCTAAACTTCGAATGATTGTAGCAGATTCGGCGATATAAATTTTAATAAGTTCTAAATTCGAATGAGACACATTGATTAATTGTTTCCCTTGAAGTACTCGAAGTTTTATTTATTCAAGGAGAAAAATTGTGAACAAATTATGCACTTATCGCGAGGAAGATTCAAATTGTACATAGTTTGATTAATGTATACGCTCGTACATTTGTTTAAAATTTTCCCGTACGTCATTGAATCGCTTAATAATTCATTTAAAAAGATTTCTGTTTATAAGCGAGCGATTTCCACGAATTGCGCACTTACTATTAACATGAACAAGCCAACAAACCAAGAGCAATCCGAGCCGGAGATCGTATGCATGACCAACTCCATAAAAATTTTCCGTTTTTACGGAATATTTCCACCGCGAGGAAAACTCGTAAATCCGGGCAAAACGTTCTACGTTAAATTCGCATTAATCGCCGCCGCCGCTTCTCCAATACTAATCGGCAGCGCGCTGCATTTGATTAAAAATATAAACGGTAAGACCGGCAATTTAATTACAACACGATATTAATCCGCCCTAATAGATCACTCGTTTAATCGCACCGAACTCGACATCACCTACATCGTCTCGATGAGCGCCGGATACGGATTAATCTGCTCCTACTTCACCAAAGTCTCTACAGCGGTTCGGCTCTACGCGGGCCTATCGAACTTCCAGCGCTTCGAAAAACCCATCGACTTCGACGAAACCAACGGCAAATACAACAAATACGCCGTCCTGCACTATTGCTACCTGCAATGCATCGTCGCGTGCATCCTAATCGGCTCGAACGTGTTCAAAGCCGGCGCCTGTCGAGAGGAAAACGAAACAAAAGGCCTGAGCGAAGTTTGCGGGCTGTTCGCTTACACTTGGCTACCTTTCGACGTGGATTTTTTCCCGGCCAAACAGCTGTACGTTTTTTCGCAACTCTTCGGCGCCGATTACGTTTACATGATTAGCGGATTAGCCGCTTGGACGGTGATGGAAAGCGTCGAACATCTAGCGGTTAGAATCAGACACGTTTCTCGCCTGTTCGACGGGGCTTTGAAGGAGCCCGATCCTTGCATCAGAAGGAACATGTTTCGCAAAGCTGTGGAGTATCACAAATTCGTTTTAAGGTAAGGAATGAATAATATATTTGTACCGGTGCGTTTCATTTTGAGTTGTAGTTTGGAGAGTCAACTTAATGAAACGTTTAATGTATTTATGTTCACTCATATGGTGATGACTGCGCCAATTATAGGTTACGGATTTTACGCTTACATTAAGGTAATTATTTTTTATTAACAAAAATCTAGTTTATAATCAATTTATGTGTGCAGTCGGGGACTTTAGCATCGCTTCTGTTGGCAATCGGATGGTTAAACGGGCTGTTTATGGACTGCAGGAGCGGTCAAAGACTACAAGACGAAGTACCATCATCAATAACTCAATAACTCTTGTTGTAGTAAATAAAATTGGGTGTTTTAGAGCGATTTGTTGGCGATGGGTTTGTATAGAGCGAACTGGTTGGATTGCGAGATTGATCTGAAACGGGATATCGTGTTTGTGCTGATGAGATGCAAGAGGAGGATGGTACTGAGAGCCGCTTCGTTCGGTATAATGAATCATCCGATGTTTTTGGCGGTAATTAGAGCACAATTAACGCTATTTTAATTGGAATTTATCCGTGTTTGTTATAGGTATTAAAAGCGGCCTATTCGTACGTTGCTCTGATGAAACAGAAAGAGAATCGAAATACATCCGTTTAGCCAATTAGCTGTTAGTATATATACTAAAAATAGAGATATACATTTACCTAAAAGGAAAACATCCATTTGTCGAAAACAAAAGTTCCTTTCAATTAACTTTCCGCGAATGTTTGTATATGTATCAGCGTAAAAACGCCCAGTAAATTCTGCCTAGCACACAAGGGTATAAATTTCATTTCGGAGAAAATTCACCGGCATAAGCATATCATTTTCTTTTTTTTTTTTGATTGCGATGAAAATTTACGCATTGCGTGTCTGCTCGACGAGGCATTTGATTAGGGAGCGCAAAAGGTAATACCATTAAAGACATTCCGGGTTTGATGTTATTAATAGTGATTTTGAGAAATGTTGTTATAAGTACGGGAGCTTTTTAATAAAATGGAACGAGCCCAACGATATTCGGGTCACGATAACCGAATGAAAAATCGTCGTATAAACGTAAATATTTTACTAAACAAACAATTAATATGTCGCAGAGTGCCCGTGGGAAAACAGCGAGAAAAGCGTCCCCGGCGGTCCGGAGAAATTTACTAGCGGAGATCGCGAAAGATATGAAACTATCAAAGAAAGCAAAACTTAAGCGGATTTCGTACAAAAAGCCCCCGAACAATATCCTCGTGGACATTTCTCCAAACTTTAAAGTTGAATAATTCAAACCAAGTGGCAACCAAGAACTGAGGAAGTTCACTTTGTTTCTGTAATCCGATTAACATCAACTCCTTGCGCCCGAAAAAGACGACTCTCGTGGCGACTACTTACATATTTCATGACGTATTCTCGTTTGCATACGCGAATAAGGAAGGGTTTATTTTTTCATTTTATTAAACGAAACGTCGGAGTTTAATCCGAATTTATCTCCGCGAACGCCAACAAAAAAAAAATACATCTAAATATGTATACGTCCGTATTTCATCGCGGCATTAAATAAAATCGCCCCAATGGCCCCGAATATAAATTTTCCAATCAATATAATTGCCATATTAAAACAAAAGGGCATTAATTTAAAAGTCACGATAATAATCATCCGCTACAAAACGAAACGAGCCAAATCCCGGTATCCCTTTTATTAAGTTGAATAGGTATTAAAAAACAATAGCCTTGTAACATAAATCACATTTCGCATCGATGCGATTCGCGTAATTCACTCAACAAAAGCTCTCGATATACATTCGCGGAAAATCTACTTTCGCGGCGAATTAATTGGTTCGAAAATACGTCGAATTTAATCGCGAACCTAAAAACCCCGTTTCGGGAGACGAGCCGAGGGAACTCCACGCCCGGATTAATTATTAATCGGTTTCGTTTATGCGTGAGCTACTCCACACACTCGCCTCTTTAGTTATAATCGAAGAGCATCCGACAATCCGAGTAACTAGAGCACTCGAAGTTTCGTGTTTCTTGCGCCGGCTGAGCCGTTATATTCCCCGATGCTTCCTCTCTGTGTATATAACGTGTACACGGAATTACCGAAATTTACCGAATGCCTTCAATTTATGCCATTTGTCTTCCAGACAGGAAGAGAACACGGCATTCAACGGGAACAGTAACTCTTGGGTTTCGCTGGAATGGTTCGGTGACGTTCGAATATATATTATTTCGGAGAGGGCGGCTCTCGCCCCGTGGGCGGTCGCCGCGGGGTGATTAGAAAATTACTTTGCTGTCGTTTCTCAAGTTTAATTGGTTTTCGCTATGAATCAATTCGATTTCTATTAATCCCATTCAGAGTATACGTTGTAGTTAAGGCTATACAATATCAACGCGAATATTTCATTTCATATATACGAATTTCAATCAGAGGAAGTTTATTACAAATGCATTCCTTAACACGTGACTTCTCTACGTTAAATTTAACATGTGATATGTTTTTTAATTATAATTTTGTCGTAAATTCTATTTCGTTAATAATATTAACATTTTTGTATCAGTTCCAAACAAAATTTGGTGCCGTTTACAATAATTTAAAACCATCCAGTCCATTCTTTCTAATCAATTAACGATTTTTACCTTAGTAAATAAATACATAGAAGAAGTATTAACAGCGCGAGTTTCCGATAACGCCGGGGAGTATCGCGATTAAATAAAGTCGCTTCGAAATTCGCGAAACTTTATACAATTCTCTTTCCCCCCTGTCATTAGACGGCCCCTCGGGGGCGGCGATGGTCCCTTTACGGCGTCTCCCGTCGATCGCGCCGGATCCGGCGCCGAATTATCCTAAATGTTTAACTGGAACAAATAGAAAAACGCCGTCCCCGGAGTGTGTACGCGGAGCACAACCGCAAGTTCGAAGACGCTCCGGGACGGAGCTCCTCGTACGTCCGTTTCGGCCTTAATTAAATCCGAATTAGGCATTCTCTTTATATGGATTTCGCAATTTCCCCGGCGCGACTCGTTATAGGGGGGCGGGATGGTATTAGAGCGCGCCTCGTTTATTATTTAAGGTAATCTTCGAAATTTGATGAATTAGACTCGCGCTATAGAGGGCGATGTAACGGTACGAATGCAAATAAATCGAGTAATTTGGGGCCGGTAATGCGTGTTGAATTTAGAAGAAAAAAATACCGCGCGCTGGTAGGAAAAAGCACAAACTTAATAATATTAATGGGGGAAGCGAGACGAGCAAGTTTATATAGGAAACCTTTCGGGCGAGCCGAGCACATTGTCGCCAGTAATTCGTAATTATCCGCGATAATTATCTCGATTTCGCTTTCTACGGTCCTTCGGCGATTGAGTTAAAAGTAGTCGGCGAAGATGCCGCGTTAACTTCGAATTATTACCGTCGATTACCGCCCGGTCTCTCTCTCCTGATTTATACAACGATACATTTCGCGGTCGTGGAAAAAATAATGTCCCGTTTGCGCCATCTCCTTTTAACTCTTGCTGTGCGTAACGACCACCGTTAACTACGGGGGTGCTACATAAATATGTAGATCTGCGGGCGGAGGCGGAAGCCGAACCGCGGCGGTGATGGGACCGGGACCGGCGTTTTCGGTCGCTTTTCCCCCGCGATTTTATTGCCCAGATCTATAGAAATACGTTCGCCGGACTCGTTTTCGTGTTTATTACTCGTAAAATATGAACACCCCCGAATGTATATTCTTTTTTTTTATATATATAAAAACCCGCGGGGCCGAGATCGCAATTAAATGATAAGCCTAACGGGCGATGTATAAATGTTTACGATTGTTTCGCCCGTAATATAATATACCTGATGGGTGTATTGAAATAATGAAAATCGCGCTCTGTTAATGAAAACATGTTTGTTTATTTTTTTTTGTGTGTGTATCGTAGGTACTTATTACGCGATGAACAGTAAAGATAAAATTCGGTTTTCCGGGCGCGACGGGTCGTGCAATATATGCGAATGCATATCGACTAATAGATCGACGAAGAAGGTCGTTAAGTTGCAACACCCAAAAGAGGAAATCGCTCAAGCAATATGGCCGGGCGCTTGTCGTTGTCGCTTCTAAACTCTAATCAAGTCGAGAACGCACATCGGCTTATCTTTATGCAGACAGCCACTCACTCCGCTCTCCTACTAAACTTCAACGAGAGTTGGGAATTATTTTGGCTTTTAATGCCGTCGACAGATTTTCTCATTTTCTTACAGGAAATTGCAAGCAACTACCGCGTTCGGGCCGCTTGATTACAAGTAATTCCGGCGAAATTTTCATTTTACTTTACTCTCTCGATGTGTCTTATAGAAAACGGGTAATTACTTCTGAGGTCTCGCTCTCTTTAAATGCTAATTAGCCCCGCGGTTTTTCCACGTCGATGGATTTCCTTCCAATCGGATATGCTTTTCCCTTCATTTCAATTTTCTTTAAATAATACATACCAAACTCATTGCACACCGATTATGTTCAGGAATCATTAGGAACTGTTCAAAACAACTTAAACTGTCCAGAATCATTTTGTAATCGAGTGACATTATTTGGAATAGTTTAGGACGTTCTTAAAACCATTTAGAACTGTCCAAAATATTTAGACCAATTTCGGAACTGTCCAGAATCATTTGGACCATTTTAGAAATCCATTGGACCGTTTCAAACAGTTCAGGAATGGTATTAAAGCCATTCAGAACTGTCCAAAGTAAGTAAAATAAGAGAAACGGGTTTTTTTCGGACATATTAAATAATATCCTCATTCCGTAAAAACGGGTTTTGGAGTGCCAATCGAGTTCCAGCGGGTTTTAATCCCATTCATCGATCCTCGGGCAGAGGCTTTAGAAACATCGCAGAGAAAAGGCGACCGCAGCAATGAACCGCTGATTGGAGGATTGTCAAAAATGAGAGCCGCGCCGCACACCAAGCAGATAACTAGCTGCGAACTCCATAAAAGGGCTTGATTAAGGGCCGGAGAAGGAGAGACGCGCGAGAGACGAGGACCGACGGCCTTAACAACCGTCCCCGAGTGATGACGTGGTCAGTCATTGACGCTGAAAGATCCGGCTTTTCCTGCGGACCATCAAACTTTTCCAGCAGGAAATATGCTGGGAGGTGGAAGCGGAATCGACGATATGTTACACTCGTTCCGTTTATTACCGAGGGGCGACTTTATTCGAACCTAATTTCGAGCTTTAATGAAATGAAATAAAAGAGAAAAACGTTCTAACTATACAACTCTTTGATGCACTTTCATCTTACGCGATAAATGAAGTATTCCTTCGCTAATTTCATTCGTTTCTCTGTAAACCCTCTCGCGCTTATGTTGGATACAAGTCGAAGGGAGCGACCCTTTGGGGCCCTTCGGGCTTGACCAGCCCCGCAAAACGCCGCCATATTGGCTATAAAATTAAGCGAACAATTAATTCGGCCTATCTGTAGTAAACACTGGACCACTCTCGTTTTTGGATTAGTTTCATGTAGATTTACCGGTCGAAATTTGCATAAATCCTAAGATATCTTAGGATTTACCCACAGCACCAATTTTATTCCGTCCCTGCAAAAATTCCCGTTTCGTATTAACGAAATCCTCCGGTGCGAATTTCGATAATTGCGAAT